CCCCCCCCCCCCCCCCCCCCGGCAGGGTGCTGAGTCTAGTTATGTCAACGAGCCGAGCCGAGCTTTTTTGGACCCGAGCAGAGCCAAGCAGAGCTAAGCTGAGCTTGGCCAAAAAAAATGAGTCTCGACCCGAGCCTTAGCGGGCCGAGCCGTTCGGATTATTTTTTAATGTCAAATCTACATTTTTACTTAAAAAATTTAAAATTTGTACGGTTTATACGTATTATAAAGTAAATAAAAAAGCTCGGGCTCGACTTGAGCTCTTTTTTGGGGTTGAGCTTTTTTGAGCCCGAGCCCGACTCGAGCTTTTTTCCGAGCCGAGCCCTAGCCGGCGAACTTTTTTGCCATCCCTAGCTGGGTCCGCCACGGCTTAAAGGATATTATGATGCGATTTAAATATTCGATACTAAAGACTCATATTCCACAAGTGAATATGTCTTTACTCTTAGAGGTGCAGCAATATCTTGAAAATCTTCAAAACATTCTTGTATAGCTACATCAATAATGGAATTCAAATTCATTGCGTTTGATAAAGTTCGGGAAGAAATTGAATTGCTGCGAAACTTTTTAGAAAATATTTCGTTTTGGATAAAACTTGTGCCCGTTACATGTATTCATTATGATAGTCAATCAGAAATTGGAATGACACAAAATACTATGTAACTGTAAATCGCGACTATATTGCGTAGACATAATGTTACTAGACAATTTTTCTCTATTGATATCATTTCTATAAATTATGTGAAAATTTATTTAATTTTTCTGGATTAAATTATAATTAATCAAATTATTCGGGTATTGAAAGAAATTATTTTGAACGGTCTTAATTCAAACTATTGGCTATTTTCGCGAAATTTTTGGTATTTAACCGATGTTTGTGACATATGACCGACATTTGGGACCTATAACCGATGTTTGTGTGTGGATATAACAGACACATCTATTCATTAGTAAAAGGTTGGGAACTCGAATTATAATTGTGTTCTGTTTTGATTATGTAAATCATTCTATTATGGTTCCAACTCGTTCGCGGTTCAAATTACATTCCTGTTTGTGCAATCTGCAAAAGTAAATGACTTTAGATTATCTCAAGGAGAAATCGATACTCCAGAAACAAAATATATGACTTCAATTTTTTATGAGGAAAATTAAGATTAAATTTATCTTTTTATTACATTAAACATGCTCGTGTACTTTTATGACTACCTCAATTACAAGACCAGCAGGTGGGGTGACTCGGGTCGAATCATTAATCCTATTTCTATATTGAGAATCTATTTTCGAAACGACATTGCTATATGTATTCTTTGATTTATACTTTGGTTTACCCGATCTCACCCCCTCCCTCACATGGGGGTCGGGTCCCACGCATTTATCGAATATGGGACCCGACCCCATATGAGAAAGGGGGTAGGATCAGGTAAACCAAAGTGTAAATCAAATGGTACAAATAGCTTAATTCTTTTCGAAATCATTATATTTTATTAATTGGGATTAATCCTATAAGTTTGACTGTTTGAGACGTCTACTGCTATGTCATTTATGAAATAATTGTATACACCATCATTAAATAATTGTAATCCCTAGAGCATTTAGTTTTGTGTAACATTGATTTCAAGGGAAAACTACTATTCATAGGTCATTTTGCAAAATCTCCCCGAATAAATAGAGAGGCTCGAGAATTTAGATAAAAGATAACACTCTAATCTTACTTCAACACGGTGAAATCTTGTAGACGTTGGAAATTTATTCAATATGCACAGCTGAAAATAAAACATATTTCAATTTTCATCAAAGATTTGCTTTGTGTTTAGATATAAATTGTGATAGAAAATATACATTTTCTAAATTTTGCAAACTCATTTATTGACTTTGGAATACGAACAATCACGATATACAATCCACAACTATCTAATCGTTCAACATTCAATGAAAATCCACACAGGGAACAAAAATGAGAGAATTAAGGTTTCTCTTTTCTTACACTAGCAAAAATATGAATTGTGTTATTTTCTTTTTTGAAATCGTAATGACTTATTAATATAAATTCAAGTGGGTTTGGTCAGTCTCTTAAAATTAACATGTTCCAATATTTAATTAATCCAATTAATTAAATTCGATTCATGAATTAATTAATTCTGGTCTATTAACAGGTAACTCAATTAATTAATTGTACAACACTTGTTAATTAATTAATTGGAATCTCATTCTTCTGGTTCTCCTTTTAAGTGTGACTCATCAAGTCCTGATCACTATGTCTAACGACATGAATTATTATTTTGATTTAATCAAAATCGAAAAATTAAAATACTCATTTTCAATTTATCATCAATTCACACCCGTCGTCCCAAATTGACATCTAGTAATGTATCAAAGCAATACATGTGACGGAAAATGTCACGTGGTATGACAAAACAAAACTTGTTCGTTTACCATGAAACTATAATCTTTTCGTCAATCTGATCCAATCAATTACGAGATATGGATATATGTCAATCTCAATTATTGATTATATCTTTCATCCCACTATTAAGTCAATATAAGTCGAAAACTCTTTTTCGACTTATGAATACAAGGCCACGGATTTCGTTATTAACTTAACTGAATGAAATGTAAATCATAATATCTCACTATCTAAGAGTGACGAATCCTCTATTGATCATTCACAACCTTTATATGATTCTTGACATACTCGAACGATACCGTATTAGAGACATTTGACAGATCAATATCCAACATCACCAAAGTATGAATGTTATCATATAAGACATTGTGACGACGTCAAGTCAAATGACAAATTCCTTACCGAACGTTAGAGTATCCATGTGGAATCTCCCCAACGGGTCATCAATATTTTATTCTATAACAAAACATACATGTGTTTATTTAAGTGTCACAATACTTTAACTTATGAGATCAACTACTTAATTCACAAATAAAAAATGGTCTATATGTAATAACGATATCTATATATCATTATTACTTATGACTACGGATGATTTAAGAGTCAATCTATATAATTTGTATCTCACAATCACAACTCTTTGTGATTAACAAATTACAAAGACTTGAATCTTTGGATTCTATTATTTAATTTATTAGAACATTAATTTAATTAAATAATAGATCTTGTCATAAATATGCATCAATTATATATTATAAGTGTTTATGTTCAAAATTGATTGGATCTAGGGTATAATACTTACAGTAGGAACATTAATTGGACGTAAATCATCGAGGGAAAATGCTTTCTCCATTGATAATGCAAAAAATTTAGTTCATGCGATCACAAATAGCCAACCTTCAATGGCTTGTCTATAAGTCAGGTGATGACTAATTCTCTTTGGTTGAATTCTAGGTGGATCCCCTTAGCCTTGCCCAACTTTTAATAACCACTTTTAAAGGATTAGTTTCCACTCCTAAAGTTGAAAATTAGGTTTTTATTTCAAGTAACAACTTGTAAGATGCTTTATAACTATAAAAGGAGAATCTATTGTGCAAAGTAAACTTTAGAGGTGTCTTTACATTATCACCTATTTCAGAGCGTCTCTGTAATATAAAATAAGAATCGACTCAAAACTATAAAGCAAATAGCATTCGAGGCCAATTAGGTGTTAATGTATTTGGCCACTTGCTTTTAAGGGAAGGACCCAAGTAATAGATGAAAACTATAGATAATAGTAGGGGAAAATTGCATGACTTGAAAAGGGCTTACATTGGTTGAATGGTCTTTTGAATATGAGTAATGTTATTCATCTCCAGTAGGGAAAAAAATACAGTTTATGTGGTTTTAAATGATAGGTTAAATGAAATGTGAAATTAAATGACTTATTTAATTTCACCTATCATTTAATGCTACATTGACGCCACGTAGACTGTGTTTTCATCCCCAATGAGGATGAATAGCATTACTCCATGAAATGGGGCATTCAATGCATTTCTATTTCAAAATCGTATAATTGATAGATAGGAAAACAATATTATTATATTGTCCGTCTATTATTGTCCAATTTTTCGATCAAACACACTATGAAATGCGCGTACCATTGTAGTTGGTTTTGAGAAACTTCGAGCTAAAAAACTTATGAAAGAGTAAGTTTCCTATTTGACATGACTTTTACTTATACTTTTACTTTTGCTTATTATAGAATAACTTTTGGGAAAAGTTACCTTAGCCCTTGTTTGAGTTACAATAAAATTTTCATTTTCGTTCTTTTATTCATTTTCAACCATACATTCTTTAATAAAATAATGTTTTCCATCACATCAATAATTTTTCCTTCTTTTTCAACCACACATTCCACATCAATTTACTATTTCAAAATACATTATTTCAAGATAATGTGATTCAAACACACCCTTAATTTTTATTCAAAAAACTAATTTTTAAAAGTACTTCACATTCTAAATGCGCTATTAGAGAAAGTCACAATAGACAGTTCTCTCTAAAAGTTATTTTAACTACCAGATGCACTTTCATAAAATTAGTCAAATGAGTCCAAAAGCAACTTTTGAATCTAAAAGGCTCATTTTGACTTTTCAAAACACATGCAAGATGGAAGTTACGAGTTACTTTTAATTTGGCATACATGTTACGCAAAAAAAGTTGCTTAAAGTAACTCTTGAGCTTGGACTTCTTTTTTGCTAAGCTCAAAATTTACTAATAAGTACTTCCACATTTCTTTTAGCCAAACATGCTATAATTCTTCATCAACCAAAAACTTCAAATACTAAAAATCTACGAACATATCTGAAAATAATCGATTACTGCCCACATTTTATTATTGGTAAATGTCTGAGAACGCAACCTGATCAGTTGTTTAAGACAAGAACACACAAGAACATGGGCATTTTGCAAGTAGAGGAAAGTTCAACATAACTTAGATGAAGGGCTAGTTGATAAGTGCCCAAGGCAACTCACTGAACAGGACCGTCCCGCTTGTCGACTCTCAGCACAACGACCTGTCCATGACGCAGTTACCTGCAGAAAATGAGGACAGCCCTGCAAAGTAATGAGAGTCATGATTTACCATGAATAAAAGCTTCTTTCTGAAGTTCTCCTACTCTTTCATCACGATAAGCATAAGCAGCTCTAGTAATCTAAAGCCAGGAAATTTCATATTATACTATTCAAAATATATCTGCTGCATTATAGTTGGAATATCAGATTGTATTGAAATGTTGGCATGTAGGCACACCGGAATAGACTGCATTCAGCCAGAGCGACTGTAAGTTAAATATTTCCGGGATGGATAAAGCCAAAACTAATATATCCAAGTCCTTTTCCCAAATAAGTTGTAATCAAAGTGAAGAGATTATATACCGTAACTGAGCTTAAGTCCAACAAAGAGTCGCTGCTCCGGCAGTTGAAGCTGAGACACTCCACACCTAAACTTGATCTGTTTCAAAGCCCAAAGGCAGTTTCCGATTACTCAAAAGTGGAATTCGAAAGCTATTTAAGGAACTGTTCATTTTTGTATAATTATACGAGCAGAAGATTGTTGAATGCCATATAATGCCTAAAATTAAGTTATACCAATATAAGAGTTTTTTGTTCGTAACATCTGTTTTAAGCACTTGAAAATACATATTTTAGATTAAATTTGAATATAGTAACACCTGTAGAAATTAGTGAGAAAAATCTATAAGAAGTAACATAAATTAGAATCCAATCTATCTTGCTGCATGGAGCTCCATTATAGGCTGCAAATTACATCCACATTTTCTGAAGTCATAATTGACTAATAAATTCTCATTTTTGGAACTTCTATTTTCATGTTACTTGTCATCTTAGAATCATATTTATATAGAATCAAAAATCTTTCAAAAAAAAATTATTAAATTTCCAGATCAGTGAATTAATAAATAATTATACTTGCCTGTAACTTTGGCCAATCCAATAAGCAAGGTTGGCAGCATGTACTGAGTCGGGAGAGAACATGGATCCCATGGCCGGGTTTGCTTCAGTGGAGTTGATAACAAGATATGATCCTGAAGTCGCTTCCAGAGAATTATTTTTTTGAGACAAAATTACATGGTAGATGTATGGCTGACCCATGGATGTAACATTCTCCCAAAGATGAATACTGAAAGAAAACTGATTGGCCAAAATAAACATCAAGAACCGGAACTTTGATGAGTCTGCATCAGTTAACCATGTGTCCTGCCCATCCCTCTGTAAATACAAGAATTAATAATTGCAGAAAAAAGGTCAAAAAATAGGTTATCTAAAGCTATGCCAAAGTTTCCTATTACATGTCTGTAACAATGGATACACTTCATATTCAATATCCACTCCTCTTACCCAGAAATAGATGAAAAAGACGGTGAATCAAAAATATATTCTGAAGACATTTTCCAATGCAAAAACTGTTTTGATCAGATTCAAAATTGGGAGTTGCGACCGTTGTTTCTTATCTATCAATCCAGATGATGAGTAAGGATTCTTAGGATACACTTCATATTCAATATCCACTCCTCTTACCCAGAAATCGATGAAAAAGATGGTGAATCAAAAATATATTCTGAAGACATTTTCCAATGCAAAAACTGTTTGGATCAGATTCAAAATTGGGAATTGCGACTGTTGTTTCTTATCTATCAATCCAGATGATGAGTAAGGATTCTTAGACATACAACAGAATGAGGATTCGTCTGAAACCACTAGATGGATTAGCCAATTCAAAATTATGTAGCACTATGGTTTCAGATGGAACGACCAAAAAAAATTAGGAACCTATCAAGCTCCTAGCAGAGCAGTCTATTGACACGAAACTGTATATTTATGATTATCCCAAATAAATGGGGCTAAGTTCAAACCTGCGTATAAGGAAATGACACCTCAATATCCACCCCCATGTCAAATAAAAATTCAAATTGCAGTAACAATGAAATACTCCGCGGTGAATGACAACCAAACAACCAAAAAAGTACGTTCTATTCCTCATAAATTTGAGGTGAGTTACATTAATCCTTTTCGCCATCCTTTAGGTTCATGGCTACTACTGCTAGAATATCGAAAGAAACTACAATAATACTTGTTTGTTTTAGTCTCCCTTTCCCACTTCTGACTCATTCCACTGAGATGCATGACTCTTGTGAAAATGCTCATCTCTTTAGGTCTAAGTGAGACATGTTCAACCACATATTTTGTCATTTCCTTAATTTATTCTCAATCGCTTCCACCTCTACTTGTTGCACATCTTCATTTCTTATCTTATTCATATGACTACAAACCCATTCATTGTATGGACATTTTGCCCTTTAACAACTCGGTACCTTTGAGCATAGTAGTTTTAATAACAACTTAGTAGAACCAACCTTTTAACCTTGTATGTATTTTCTTATCACATAAAATTATGTGGCACTTCTCTACTTTATACAACCAGCTAATCCTGTGCATTACATTGTCCTCAGTTCCTTATTAATAATCAAACCTCATATGCTTTATCACTCTTTGGCACAACACAAATTTCTATCATAGAACCAACCTTTTAACCTTGTATGTATTTTCTTATCACATAAAATTATGTGGCACTTCTGTACTTTATACAACCTCCTAATCCTGTGCATTACATCGTCCTCAGTTCCTTATTAATAATCAAACCTCATATACTTAATCACTCTTTGGCACAACACAAATTTCTATCATAACTGCATTATTATTGTTAGAAAGGAGAATATTCTGTTTTAACTAATGGCTGATTTTTAGGGATTAGTAGCTGTAATTTATATTTTATATAACTCTAATCAACTCCACAAATTAGGAATGTTAGTTGCACAGTTATTGTGTTTCCTATTTTAGTGATTTTGTATAGCCTATAAATGTGTACGTGTATTCGATGTTAAAGACAAGGAAATACATATTTCACAGTAATTTCCTTCTTTCTTTTCTACAATTATTGTTATTCCTAGTATGACTAAAGTGACATTACGTGAATTGCATCTAGGGTATACACTTCTACTTAACCTAAAAGCTTTAAGGCTGGTTTGGCCTAGATTTTTCTAAAATCCTTTTCAACCACACATTCTATGGGGCCCACAACTTTTCCCCATTTTTTTAACCATACATTCTCCAAAAAAATATTTTTCACTTGAACAAATCTGTGCCAAACAAGCTTTTAGATTCCACTTCAGAGTTCTAACTTACTATTGCCCCCTTTCAGTCTCACCAACTAAAACTGTGTTATCATAATTGTTATTCCTAGTATTACTAAAGTGCCATTTGAATGTACTTCATCTTGTTATACTTAACCTAAAAGCTTTAAACTCCGAAGTGCTACTTCAAATTTCTAAATTACAATTGAGCCCATCAACTAAAACTCTATTATCAGAATATAACATACAAGAGGGGATCTCATCTTTGATATGTCTCACATCAGCTCGTCCATAACTAAAACAAAAAGATAAGAGTGTAAAGAGGAGATGCAAGCTATAATATAAAACAATTCTCTACTGCTACCACTAGTACATGTCTTGTTTATGAAAGCTCCTGCACGAGTATCACTAATAACGCAGATATATATTATAGAAACTAATTTTCTCTCTAGGATCCACTAAAGCATTTCCCTAGGCACCTTATCAAAGGCCTCTTTCTAAAGTAATAAAAGGCATAATCTTGTCTCTTTTTTCCTATACTTCAGCATCGATCGATTATATAGAGAAATTGTTTCCATTGTAAATCTTCCTGGCATAAAGCCAAACTAAACACCTGAGACCTTTGAATTCCACATTAATTTGTGCTCTATCATCCTTTTCATACAATCAGTTTTGAAGGATGGTGTCTTAGCACTTGAGAAGATCTAGGGGAGTCAGAATCCAGCCGATAGCTGCTGGAATCATTTTATAGATGACTCATTTTTAAATGGAAGATTGTTGGATGTTCCGAATATCATTCTCAAAATGGGAGATTATTAGATATATGGAGCATAATATACTATACACTTTTCCCTAGATAGTGTTCAACCTAATATTTTCCTCCTACATAAATGGTATTAGGAGGAGCCTCCTTTTGTAGTAGAGAGAAAATAGAGTGCCGTGAGTCATGAAACACATTGTAATCCTCCTCTTTGATTTAGTGCAATTTTGCAGAGACTTTGAGTGTATGTAGCTCTTGCATTTAGAGCTAACCACTTTAAATCCAGTGTTTTTCTTGCTTTCATTTTCTATTTTATGTTATTAAGGTTCTCAATAGTATAAGATTAGAGATTAATCCATAAAAAAGTCATGATATTCCTCTGTTGATGATAAAATAATATTGTTGCACTATTGCCTAGGCCACCCCAATTTTTAATAATGTGTTCCCTATTTTATTCAAAAATGCAAATCTCTTTGATGGAATGTGAAATTTGTCAATGGTCACTATGTAAAGAGAAAAATGGCAATGCAACGAGGTAGTTTCTCACTTTTTATGAAACTCGATTTGATCCATTGCTACACTTAAAGAACTATTGCAACTAAATCCTATGAAACCACATGATGCCATTTTAATTTTGGTCAACTTCATCTAACATGTTCTATTTGGAGATCGCCCATGCGATGGAACTTCTTTACCCAAACAAAGTTTATAAAGATTCTAATGAGGTAGAGAGTACACACAACGAAAACAAATATCTATATATCAACCCCATCTCCTGCAAATCTATTCGTTTAGGGTCACGTGTGGAAGGCAATGTTGTGGGAGCAATACTGGACAATTGAATGTGTTTTAGACAGGAATAAATCGGATTTCAAAAGTAAAATAAAAACAGGCCAATTTAGCGAAAAACAACAGATTGGTGCTTTTTATGGACTCTTGGGGAAATTAAAATATCTGTTTGTTGCTCACCTGAGCGTACACTGGTTCAGTTGTAGTCCCATTGTTCACCAAAAACTTGTCAAGGACTTTCAGATTTCGACAATTTGGAAACCAGGATGGACAGTCTTTCGGGATTTCCACTTTCTGTCCAAAAAAAAGGGAAAAAAAATGAAATTTGAGAAAGTGGGCATATAATCAAAATGAAGCTATTGGTGCTTTTTTTTTCTTTTTCCTTTTGACTTAATTACTAAGGATCATAATTCATTCCATTTAAAAATTATTTCAATTAGCATGGTTAATGATGTAGACCAAAAAGCTTGGTATGATGAAACCAGATCGTGCCTCCATAGGATCAAAAGGGGCCGCAGCGGATAGTGCAGCTTCCCCCACGCGAGTATGCAAACCATGTACAGCACCAGGCAGCTGAAAATTAAATAAATGGTTCGACACCAAGAGATAAAGCCCAAAAAGCATTACAACCATGAAAACCTTCAGCTGGAGATCAGCAATCCAGTTGGTAACAGTTCCAGTAGCTTTAGACAGGATCCTATTGGTGGTTTCCTCAGCTGGTAAGGGAATGCTAAAACAAAGAGAAAGAAAGAAACCAATCAGCACAATGCTATTTTTATTGATAAAATTAATATTGATTTTATAACATTACACACTACCCCCTTGAATTAGCAGCAGGAAAGGCGTCAGTTTCATGTCCCAGGTCAGCAAAACTAGCTGTAGCAATTAACTGCATCACAATCATCCAAGACAGATGAATATGATAAAGCCTTAGAAAAACTGTACGAAATCCAGTTTTATTCAAGCAGAAAAAATACATAATTCTTCTATGGTGTAAACAGCTATAGTTTCTTCCACCTTTAAGTCTGACTAGATCACATTGTAAGGCTGAATTCAGCATTCAGGAATATGTATAAAGAGCAATTTCACATGAGATCATGAACATACAATCCTTCTTCAAGTATCCAAAGACTGTTTTGTTAAACAAGTTTGGAGGCTTAGATCAACCTACAACTCAGAAAGGATTCAAAAAAATTCAAGTGACAAGAGAAGGAAAAATTGTCGTTCACTTCACAATCCTTCAAGTATCCAAAGACTGTCTCACAAATTTGGCAACAAGAATTACTAAAAGCATCTGGAGTATATTCACCATACTTTTTGCATGTTTATACAGAAATATTAGGTCTAGGAGAGAACAAAACAAGAAAGGAGAACATACACAAAGTGAAGGTAGCACTGATTGTGCACAAATTAACAGGAGTGAACATAGATTGATTGGATGGCTTGCATACTGTCATTTACAATAACATTGTGGCCTTGTAAAACAAGTTGGGCCGAGAGCCCACCAAGTTTATCGGGAATTAAGGCTTCTTGTTCTTGTATGGAGTAATATCATATAAGATGTCCTGATAGATAACAAGCTAATACAAAAGAACTACGCACCAGTATCTAGATAACTCCAAATTAAATGCTTACTATGTAAAATCCATAAAACCACAGTGTGTTCATACACATAGGTGCAAGTGCAACTGAACAGAAAAGCGGAATGCTGTGTGAATATGTGACCCAAATTCCAACGTTGATTGTGTTTTGGTTGAAAAGGGAGTTAAAGAAGGATCAAAGTTGACAATTGAAGTTTGGAGTAGCAATTGGGCGCTTGGGATTTGATTATTTACTGAAACTCAGTGTTGGGGCGCCATTGGAAGCGCCGGTCTGCCGCTCGCCTACCGCTCGAGCGACAATGTTATTCGGGGAAATATTGTTTCCTTATTTTTGGCTCCTTTTTTATCATATTTCCAACCATAACAGATTCTTTTGGGTCATATATATATTCCATGACTTGTACGGCTTTCATATTACTTTTGAGAGTTAGAATTCTATTAGATGCACATTATTCTCTTTTTATTTCTCTCCAATATTAATAAAATCATCGTTCCTTTGCCATATTATTGTGTTCTCCTTATATTGCGATCGATACTTCAAATTGAGTCATTCATCTCGCTCATTATTAACAAGTGGCATTGTTCGTCGATTACATAATCCTTGATAATTCACTAACAGCTGTAGAGCAATAACAGTTGCTTACAAGAAACACAACATTTGTTTCATGTTTTTTTGAATAAAAAAATATTTTCACACATCCAAGGAGAAATGTGGGCATGGGTGCATTGGTAAAAAGCCCATGATAACACTTAAATAACTCTAATAGCAACATTCACGCACCGAAGTCCACACGTCCAAAATCTATTTGTAATTATGCTTTACTAGACAAAGAATGGAGCTCGTGGAAAAGCCATACAATTCAGAATAACAAAAACATACAACAGACATGCTCAACAATGGGAACACAAACATTAGTTTGGGAGTAATTTAATGTACACTGACCAGGTTTCTCAAGTTCTCTCTCAATTGCATCTGCTGGGCCACCTCATTCTGCAACAAATCATTCTCTTCGACCAGCATATTGTTTATTGCTCTCAAATTCCGGTTTATTAACAAAAATTCCTCTCTCTCTTTCTTCTTTCTTTCATAGCATCTGAAAACAGGGAAACAAAGACGAAGATTACTGAATCCGCCATGATGTCAAATTTGTTCTCAGCTCAAAGCTGAAATAGAAGTTCAATATAAGTGCTTTATAGGGTTTTGTAGGCTCATCTGGTGGCAAAGCAGTCAAAAATTGCCTCAAGTCAATGAAGGCATGCATCGTTTGACGAACATGCGTCACATAGAAGATCTGTATCCCATTAATCAAGAGAGAGGGAATGCCTCGCCTTAGGTTAAATTATTGAGATTAATAATATCATGAGTTACGCATTCAATTCCTCTATAACAACAAAAAAAGGAAGGAAACAATGAGTTTTCCTAGTTCAGAGAAGCACACTAGCGGGTGAAACTAAATGCTGGGAAGTTTTTACCACTGCCTGTAGACCAGATATTTTAGGAAATAAAAAATTACTTGGCATTCTCCAACTTGAGTATTAATGTCACTAGACTTCAATGATTGAATATGTTACTAAAGCCATTTGCTGTAATGGAAACATTCGTGACCAGAAAAGTCTTTTTTAGAGAGGTGGATCCATAAAAATGATAACATAATTCAACACCAATGTCAAATCACAGTGAATTTTAACCAGGAAAGTTATGATTAGAGAGTTATCATATTAATTAAAGATACTCAATACTTAAGAATTCTGAATGTGTTCAATTTACTTTCATGTTTCACATTATATGATGCAGTGGACATTTCCATTCAAACTGATAGATTTTGTCCAAATAATTTCCAGAAAGTATTTTCCGCAAAAGCTGATACTAATGTAAGCATTTTGCTCTTGAATCGTATAGACACCCTGCCATAAAAGCCAGGCTGACTACAAGTTTGAAATTCAAGGTCCATAAACAGACAAATAAAGCATAATCTGATTTCAAATTAACAAAGCAAAAGGAGACATTTTGTCCCAATAATTTCCAAAAGTATCTTCGGGAAAATATGTTATTCTTGTAAACATTTTGCTCTAGAAGTGGTGAAAGCACCCGGGCAAAAAAGACCTGGTTGATGACAAATTTAAAATTCAAGGTCAATAAACCAACAAGGTATAATCTCATTTCAAATTAAGAAACAGAAGGATGGATTTCGTCCCAATAATTTCCATACGTGTCTTCTAAAACATATGTTACTTTGTAAACATTTTGCTCTAGAAGCGTGTCTAGGCAAAAAGCCTGGTTGATGACAAATTTGAAATTCTAAGTCAATAAACTGACAAATAAGATAAATCTTATTTTAAATCAACAAAACAGAAGGACAGGTTTCCAAATAATTTCCAAACGTATCTTCTCAAAAATTCTGTTACTATATAAACTTGAAGCATGTAAGCACTCTGGCAAAAAGCCTTGTCGATGACAAATTTGAAATTCAAGGTCAATAAACTGATGAATAATATATAATCTCATTTCAAATTACAAAACAGGACAGGTTTTGTCCAAATAATACCAAACATATCTTCTGAAGACACTGTTGTGTAAACGTTGAAGAGTGTAAGTACCCAAGCAAAAATACATAGTTGACGGTAAATTTGAAATTCATGGTCAATAAACCAATAAATAAGGTATAATATCATTTCAAATAAACAAAACAAAAGGACAGATTTTTTCCAAATAATTTCGAAACGTATATTCCGTTACTATGCAAGCATTGACACCTGTAGGCACCCTAGCAAAATGCCGGTTGACGACAATTTTGGAATTCAAGGTCAATATACCAACAAATAAGGTATAATCTTATTTCAAATTAACAAAACAAAAGCACATTTTGTCCAAATAATTTCCAAACATATCTTCCGAAAATTCTGCTACTAAACATTGACAGCTAACGTGTGTAAGCACCCAAGCAAAAAGCCTGGTTGATGACAAATTTGAAATTTAAGGTCGATAAACCGACAAATAAGGTACAAGGTTTCCAAACATATCTTCTGAAATTCTGATTCTATGTAAACATTGAAGAGCGTAAGCACCTGAGATAAAAAGTCTGGTTGACGACAAATTTGAAATTTAAGGTCAATAAACCAATATAATCTCATTACAACTTAACAAAACAAAAGCACAGATTTTATCCAAATAATTTTTGAATGCATTTTCGGCAAAATCTGTTAACCTGTGAACATTTTGCTCTAAAAGCATGAAGCATCATGGCAAAAAACTCTGGTTGACAACAAATTTGATCCAAGGTCAAACCTACAAATAAGGTATAACCTCATTGCAAATTAACAGAACAAAAGGACAGCAAGCAAATCATCTCTGGAAATTTTGAACATAGAAAAATTCTGGGGACGTAACAACAAACAATGAAACATTTGAAAAAAGAAAGTGGAAGAATAAAGGACGAGAGACGATAATTCACCTGCAGTTTTGAAACCAGATTTTCATCTGCCTGTTTTCAATGCCATTCAGAATGGGATGCTCTTGCACAGTCTGTGATCGTTGAGAGAGAGTTGAATTTGGACGCTCAACATAAGTTTTCTCAAGAAGCTCAATCTGCTCGTCTGTGTATGTAACATGCTTTTCTGCCTCTTCAAGTCGAGGAGGTATCCTCGTGCCGATGCCTGTGCCCTGGTTGCTACTCTCAACAACTACATTTTCAATAATTTCCATTTCCACAACTAAAAATCCACTGCTAGAACTCAAAAGTCAAAACATTGGTTTCTTAAAAGGCACAAACACTAATTTATCTCTAAACCAGATCTTGTAGACGGGATTCCAAATAATATCCACCGAATGATGCAATGGTGATCACATATAAACGAGTAATGAAGTAATTACTTTCAACAACCAAAAGATGCTCTAACCACTGTCATGTGACACTGTCGGCTCTTTCAAAACTCCTATTTAAAGTTAAGTGGATGTAGACAAAGAAGTTTTGTAACTCCCCAATCTCCATTGTCAAGTGTCAGAATTCTACAATATTGTTGGTATCTGAAACTAACTAATTTAACCCACTTTAATTTGGTGCATTAGATGCCATAGATTTAAACTCAGCCTCGATTGTCTTGTTCTTCTCTTCTTTCATTTGTTTTTATTCTTCATCCGCTGGATGCACCAATACTGCATCAATTCAACTCTCATGTACTGCAATCTATAAGTGACAGTTCACTATCTCTGTGTATATATTAATCAAATACCTGTATCATTCACATGTAGGGATTACTTTACTAGCTTGCATTCCGTTTCTCACCCTTATGGAAAGCTATTAAAATGCTATATAAATATGTTTACATACATATGCATGCACGCATTAATGCATGTGTATGTGTATTTGCATTAAACAACAAATCATAAATATAATCAAATACAATAATATACCTAAACGTCCAATATTTCACCAAAAATTATTATAAAGATATTGAATAAAAGCATATACGTATCTACACATATTTATGCATACATACTATGTGTTTAAGAGGGCTTTTTGGGATCCCAAAAGCTTTACTGGGGACCAAAAGCACTTTTGCATAAAAATATAATTGTTTGGTTTGTGGTCAAACCAAAAACAGTTTTTTTATGGTGTGTTTACTGAAGCTCAAAATTTTAAGACTCTTCTACAAGAAGCTGAAATAAAACTTTTATATATTAAATTTTATCCTTAATAAAAATATACCAAAATTAAAACCTAAAAAAAAAATCATATGTTAATGCGTTAAAATATATTTTAGAAATGAAATTTAATATGACAAGAAATTTGGTATTTATAAGTTAATGAGTCTTAAGCAAATAATTTTAAATTATGTAATTTATACTAAATAATTGTGCCATGATAATTTAATTAATATATTAATTTTTACAGATATATATCATATGAAATAAATATTATATAAAAACATTATGAGATAAATAATAAATAGATATTTATAAGCCAAATAATTACGTCGTATGTCCAATTCATAAATCGAAAGCACATTTCTAGTTTTGCAGTCAATATCAGCTCTTTTCGAAAAAGCTAAAAGCTCTACTCACAATAGTTGTGCCAAACACATACTTAATGTACGATGCTATAATTCAAAAGCAATATTAAGATACATGCACCACCGAATTAATTAAGAGTGCACCTAATTTTGAATTTCCGTATAAGTACAAAAATACATAAATTCAGAAACGGTTATGCGTACAGATCAGAACAATTGTGAATATTGCTGTCATAAATCCTGGGTCTGGAGCCCGATTTGATGAACTGCGTGGGGAAGGAAAAACAGAGTATGAGGGAAAATTTGCAGAAGTTACTGAAGAAATGCCATCGGAAGCCCCTTCACTTTAAGAAATGGATTGAAAATCTCGGGCCTTCATCATAATTTAATCGGGGGTGGGGGGTCCTGAATCTTTATTGGAGAAAGCCATTTGTACCGGGCCCAGGTACACGACTCCACCACCACCTCACAATGAGGGGGGCCCGAGGTGAATAAAATAATGGGCGGTCCGCGTTGTGAGTGGGGAGCGTTGGATCGAGTACACGAGCGTGTAACAAAATCCATCTTTATTTTTTGGCACCATCGTACAAAACCTTTGAATAATTAAGCGATTCATTTATCGATAAACTTAACTAACAAAATTAAGTTTAAAGATAAAAAAGAATTAAATATTTGAACACTCGCCTAACTTTGGATGTGGTCGCGAGTTACTCACCAAACTTCAGAATGTTTTTCATAGGTCACTCATTTGCATTTCATCACCCATCAAACTTTTAGTGTGATCATAGTTTACTCAGATTATTTTAAAATATTTTTAATTGGCCACTCAACTTTAGAGTGTTGCATTTCAACACCCTCCCAACTTTGGATGTGGCCACGGGATATTAATCAAATTTCAAAATGCTTCTCATTAACTTTAAAGTTGTAGCGAGCCAAAAATTGATTCAATGAGACTATAAAAGCACGATTATATAAAAGAATATAGAAATAAGATAACTGGAAAAATAACAATTTATTAGATCGTTCATAGTTAAAAATTTCTTAAACTCATTGATACGATACAATATTGATTTATCTTTGCACAGGTAAATGTTATTTTGATTCACTCTTCATTATTGTCCAAAACAACATAGAAGACCTATTTTTAAGTTAAAGTTTCCAACTTAATAAATAACAAAAAAAAATTGTTTCATGATCACTTGTGGCTGGGATAATGTTAGATGATTTTAAATAAATAATAATAAACTAAATTGCATGTGAAATTTTTCTCCAGTAATATAGTCGTATACAAATTATTTAATAATATTTGATTTGAAAGAAGAAATTGAGCTATTAAATAAAAAAAGTATTCTAAAGTTGATTGACCAGCTAGAAGCGTTTTGAAATTCAGTGAGTATACCCAAAATTGGATGAGTATTGAAATGTAACATCCTAAAATTGAGTGATCAATGGGAAGTGTTCTAAACACCCAACGTTGAGTGTGTTGAAACATTCAACTCGTAAATAATGGAATGCAACTACCTAAATTTGAGGACCAATGAGAAGTATTTTGAAGTTGAGTAGGTAACGTATACGACTACACTCAAAGTTGGGTGAGTGATGGAGTGCAACACAAGTTGATTGATCAATGGGAAGCATTCCAAAGTTCGGTAAGTAACCCATAATCACACCCAAAGTTGCACGAGTGTTGAAACATTTATCTTGACAAAATAGTAATGAAATTCTGCTAATCAATTTCCGTGATCAATTCACGCATTATTTCGTATACCAATCTTCACGTTCAATGCCGTTGGATAATGACGAACGCATTATTCAATATTCTTCCTAGCGTAGAGCAGACCATCCTTCTCCCAAAGGCCAAAACCGAGTGCTTTCCTTGAAAGTCGAGGGACTCTCTTCCGCAACAACCCTAGCCTACTCTTCTAAAGTCAGTAAGGCCTTGTGTCTAACGCTGTTCATAAGCTAAGGGTACAGATGTAAACTCCAAGACTATGATAATTTGGAGAATTACAATCTATTCGCAATGGAACTTCTGAAATTCATAAGCATTAATCATTTACAACAACTTCAAATTGTTTGACAGATTATTTCATGTATTTCCATCATATACAACAAATGCAAAGCTGCTGCAACATTACAAGAACTACAAATCATCTGACCAGAAAGATGGATGTTAGAACTACAAACAGGCCTAAATTGCTGAATTTAAATATATATATTATACCATGTGACCTAAATACAAGATTCCATCACATTTCCGTACACTTCATCCCGCCCCTTCTACGGCGGGACATCGTCTCTGATGATGTTCGTGGTCGGGACACACAACCGTTCGTCTTTTGCATAGTGCATTTTAATGGCCTCCACAGGGTCTGAAACACCAGCATACTGGCTTCCAACATTAATTCCGCCGGTCCCCTTTTTTGGCTGTTGGGTACCCGACATAACATCAAAACCTTTCATTCGTTGCATCTCTAGATCTATGGTAAACGGCTGCACTTCACTGTCCCTTGGAACCTCATAATCTGCTAGTCTGTTGCAGCTACTTAGTTCTTGGGTTGGAAAAAAGGAGATGCTATTCAGCCCGCATTCCGTGCTTTTGACAACCGGATGTAACAATGGCTGCTTAAGTTTGTCCAAGGGCATGGCGTTATTGGTAACTGCAGCAGGATTCTGACAAAACAAAAGTGTCGAGTTGGGAAGAGGAGGGAAAGCATTCTGCAACTTGTTCTTATCCCAAGAAGGAAATTTCGTGATGAGAATATTCTCAGAGCTCGGGTAGTCATCACAGTCGGGCTTTGCTTGAGCTGAATTAATCCCATCCCCACTGAATGGTTGCTTACCTGATTTATGATGAGGGGTTTTCTTATCATTGACCGGTACACAAGAATTTTGTTTCTCCTGAGAAGAGATCAAAAATTGACCAAACAATTTCACACCACCTTTCCTGCAGGGATCCGTTGTCTGTTCTTGGGACTGAATTGGAGCCCCGGGAGAATTCCGGTATCTTGAACTACTGCACTTTTGAAGAGAGAATCCAGAACTCCGATCTAATGGGAAATTTCCATCTACCTTGGCATCACTTCGAAGTGAAACTTCTTTTTTGCAATTAATATCCTCGTTTTTCTTCTTCACAGTTGACATAGAAACCTTAAAGTCCCCGAGAATTTTGGAAGACTCGACACAATCTGAAAATGAGCAACCAGAAAGATGCTGACCCGTCTGAGCAATTTTCTGACACTGCACATCACTGATCACATTTGCACGAGCAGCTGACGAAGCAATATGATTAGAAGTTTTCTTTTGGCATCCCAATGTAATATCCAGATGTGTAGAAGAATGTGCTTCAGCACATGGATGAGAAGTAACAGCTGGCCTACGATGCCCTTCAGAAACCTCAGTCAAAGCTGCATTCTCTGTCTTGCCCAATCTATTAGACTGGACATGGTTGTCAGACTCTTCAATTACCCGTGAAGATTCTGTATCGCGGGACACAACCACAGTTCCACCATCAGCACCATGATCATTTGCATCTGCATCAAAGTCTAAATCAGCCTTATCCTTCTCCTGACAATGATTTAGCCCAGGGTTATCAGCATCCATAAAATTATCAAAACCTGTTCCATTATTTTCCTCACATTCGTTAAGATTGCGCTTCAAAGTCAATATTCCTACAGTATCAGATTCATAGCTTGTCTTCAAATCAGGAGACAGAAGGTTCTCTACCATCTCACATCCTGATCTCTCACTGCATATTATAGAACCCGACTCCACAACACAAGCTTCTTCAGCATCGTCACTTCCACCTCCATTAATATCACCAGATACAGCATTGCGAGGTCTGGGCTGTATCATATCCAATCCAAGACACTTTCGGGCCTTGCTATAGAAGACTTTGCACTCATATGTTGATCTGGTTCTGACGCAGCGTGAGATCATTGCAAAATCCTTGCCATGAGATGACAAAGCCTGTATGAAAAAGGATTTCTCCTCGTCAGTCCAATCAGTGGGGTCCATCTCCTCACAGCTCTCATCTAAGCATGAATCGTAAACTTCCTCATAGATCTCTGCAGGATCCACGGAACTCGTAATGCAAGAACTCATAGCTTCAGAGGACAAGGAACCACATATACCAGCTAACACATCAACAGCCATAGTTTCTCGATCAGTTTCATAAATATTGAGACTGTTTGATCTTTGCAATAAACCGACATCACCTCTTGATTCTCGGTAAGCACTCGACCCAAGAAAGATTCTCGATGAGCATTTCTGCTGAATCTCTATACCATCATCAGCAGAAGCAGCAACAGCTGATGCTGCACTCAGTATATCAAGGGAAGCTACATTAGCCTCACGATTCCATCTTTTCACTGATGCAACCATGTATGTACTACTAGATCGGGTCTTCCTTTGCTTTGGAAAGCCTGTCTTCTTTTTTGCCTTCTCAAAGTATTCCGACTTGCGATTCTTGTAGTAGAATTCAATGCAATCTGCTGTTGATTTGTGATCAAGAAAAGACGCAATCTTACTGAAGTCTTTCCCAAAGGTAGCAAGTTTATCAACAAAAATTTCCCTCTCTTCAGATGTCCAGATGTTGATCATAGACCTCTCCTTTTCAACAGCAAGAGGATCTTCCACCAAACCATTACTCGAGATAAACCTTGACATAAACTTCTCCTTCTTGTCCAAAATTAAAACAGGCATCTTCAATATATTCCTGTAGGGTTTGACCTCGGAATTCGAAAGCAACCTACTCACATAATCAATTACTTCTTCTGTTGGCACCATACTAAGATTTCCATCCGCAAAGACTGAGAGCGTGAATGCATAACGTCAGAATAGATTTACCAGCACATAATCAGTTCTCTAAACCATTGAATACAGTTTAAAGGCAAGTGTATAAAAAGGAACTCAAGTGAAAAATTTGTAGAAAAATATAGATGGATTTCAACAAGCAAAAATGTAATAATCATAATACAGAAATAAACAACTCCAAAATAAATACCGGCTAAATACCGGCTCTCATTTTACTTTTTCAGTGAAAGACGACAAATCTACAGTTGAGAAAACAAAGCTTCGGATCAACAATCCCAAACTTCAGCATTTTGGTAAGTCTCATCCAAGCATCAGTTATGATCTAGACAGAGACCACGGTCTTAACAACTAAAAAGCTCTTTTTTCAACCATAATTGTGTAATTTATTAGCTTCAATTCATAGCAGCAGTTGCATGAAAATCAGATGCCAACCATAATTCTACCAAGTCACAGTACACCCATTAAAGTCAAAAGACACATTTGAAGCCAAAAATTTCTTACCGGAAGAAGAAAATCTAGAGCAACAGGAGGAGTGATGCTTTTGATAGCCAAAATACTCAGTCCGACTTAGATCTAACTTCTTGTGAGACTTTATACGAACTCTCCTTGCAGAAAGTAGCTGATTTTCCTTCCAGAAGTGATGAAAAACCTTAAACTTGAGAGTGGTAACTTTCTCATTAAATTGTATGAATCGCTTCCTTTTTAGAAATTTATTCTTCATTACCATGAAATCATTTCGCAAATATGAGACACTGGTAGCAGTTGAAATATCAGAATGACACTGGTTGGCAGGCAACAACTTATTTAACACTTCTGAAGCTCTATCTGAAGAATCTTTGTTGGTAGCAAGTATTAAATTATAAATATCCTCTCTTTCACAACATGAATTGCTACAACTAGCAAGAGTTGGATAATTACTACTAAAGATCGGTTCAGAATCATCCACGTGACCTTTGGTTTCCTCATCATCACCATTTTCTAAACATTTCACTTCCAGGTTTTCAGAATTATTCGCATCTGAATTCAGGAAGCCTTCAATCTGATTGGCTGTGTTGGACGGGCAGAAGTCCTTCACAGAAGGCATCTCAACAAACTTAGATATTGCACTCTCTGGATTACCAATATCCTCATCTTTCATCCCAGAGTTCTCATCATCTAATGCCTCAGGTATATTCTCCAAAATCTTGTCACCTGGCAGCATACATGATGCAGCTGGATGAGGAAAGCTACTTCCAGCTTCAGATATTGATGATCTGAATTCAGTTTCAAGTGAATCTATCTCAGATTCAGTCTTCTCGAGTGCTTTTAATACATCGACTTTCCATAACAACAACTTGTTCATTGCAGTGGTTCGCACAAAACCAGTATCCAAAGAATTTGTATAATCAGATCTTAACAATTCACTGATCGAAGAGCTCAAATTAGCGATAGACGTGAGCTCAAAATTCTCTAGATTGAAGGTTGGTCCCTCACACAGCATCTGAGACAGAATACTTGGTGAACAGCTCAATTTAGTCATATCATGGTCAACACTAACTGTCTTGATGGATTGTTTCTCCTGAACACCTGCCATATGAAAGAAAATTTCAAATGAGATATTAAGAAGATCACCACTTACTTCAGCACTGGACCACATTAACATCAAATACTCTGCACTATAATTCTAGATGACAAAGAGCCAGTAAACTAATTATTTGTTATATTGACCTTTTTATAATGTAGAATCAAATCAATTGGGAGCTCATATAAAGTAGAATTATTCAGTAAAAACCATAACAAATACGAGGCAAGATTGCATAAGCAAGGACGAAGCAACAAACCAAATCTTCAAAACAATGCAGTTGTATCACTATCTCAAAGAAGGAAGACTGAATGGTGTAGGGAAGAAAAAGGTGATCGTTCTTAAAACTATCTCCACAAGTAGAGAAAGCATTAACATAATCAACTTGATACACACAAGGACAGTTAATTAAAGCTGATAAGCTTTCATTTTGTTTCACGAGCTTGTCAAACTTCACCTATTCTGGAATCCTAAATTTGGTATATTTACATCAAGATTGCTTTATCACGTCACTTTGTATACACTCTTTTCCCATTAACTGTCTGCTTTACTTCCCATACACTTTCTCGTTGTAGTCTTCCTCTTTTAGATTTCTAACAGGAAAGAAATGTAGATAAATACAGTTCAACAGATAACTCGAGTAGATGAAAATGAGAAGGTGCCTAACAAGGAATCAAACAAGTTACCAGGCGAGGAACTACAAGCAACCGAAGATGGAGTAGCTGGTGAAGCACAGTCTAATAAAACTGCAGCTTTAGGACTCTTATCAGCCAGGTTCATGGGATTGGACAGCACAGTTTCTGTATCACTATCACTAATGACAAATTCGTTTCTGATTGCACCATCTTCAGGGCCTTCAACTTTCTTCTTCTCGAACTTTTTCAGTCCCTCACCCCATCGAAGGCGTGGCTTCTTCTTGGAACGAGTATCTTCAGATGAAGCTATAGCAACAGACATCGGACAAGCAGCAGCATTCCCAGAAGGAGACTGAATTGGCATCGCAGACACTGTATCATTGGAGTCTGCTCCCATGCTCTTGGAGTTACTTGAAAGGCTAAAGCCAGACCCCCTTGAAGACAAGCTTCCTGACCGGGTCCATTTCAAAGACTTCCAATCTATAGACCCCAGTGAGTTTTCTTTCTCAAATTTCTGACCTTTGCAGGCCAATCCTTCAGTATTACCACCATTCTTATCAAGCATCTCTTTGAGAGACTGAGATTGATCCGACAAGTTTACAGTGTCGGGTTGAGGATAGTAGGAGTTGTTGCTGCTTCTGTTGCTATTGTTGCCACCATTATTGTATGTTTTCACATTCTCTACAGAACTATGTTCATTAACATCACTAACGACTCTTACAGGACTGCGTGGTGAGGCAGCAGGCTCCCTAGAGTGACCTTTCAAGACCCTGTGGCTATTGGAACCCTTAATTTCCCTTCTATTTCTGAAATATCTTCCATCGCTGTGAGAACCAGGAGGCCGAAAATTCATATCATCAGAAATCCTGTCATTGAACCGTGACTTAAAAGGCGGAAACCCATGACTAGACTCCTCCTGGTACATGTCTCGACCACCTTGCTTTCCAAGACCTTCAGTAAATACAATCCAACCACCATAAAAGGGGCCAGAGAAAACCCAAATTAATAGTCAAAGACACAAGCTCCACAAGTCATGCAGTAAAAGTACAATTTTTCCATAAAGTTCATAAATTCACCAATTCCTACAAAGGAAATCAAAGCATCCACAGATCTAGCAAGCATACAATCAACAAGCCATACTTGAATTAGGTTTCTTTCATTTTAACATACTAGATCTGCCCTAAACGTATCTGCCAAAACCATCCAGAAGTTCATAAAACAGAATTGAGCCTATAAAAGTGGTACTCATGGAAGACTTCAAGAATTTAACTTTAATTATTTCCGTGAAAATTCGTTATATCCATTAAATTAAGCGCTAAAAGAATTATCTCCCTCCAATTACTTCTGAGGCCCAAATTTCACTTTTTAGTTAAAAAATTAAGAACTTCTCCATGAATTAATTAGCTAATTAACTTAGTTAATAGATTCCATTTCATAAATAAAAATAGAAAGTAATATTAAATAATTACTCACCAGGAGGGAGAGGGCGAGAGCGGAAACCGGAGTACCAGCGGTGCTGATGATGGTGGTAGGGATGATACGGGGGCGGCGGTTGAGGGTGGTGCTGGTCCCTCCATCTAGTAGGGCCACCGCCACCGAATCCTCCCCCAAGGGCGGGGTCTGACCCGGGTCTGTCGTACTTCCGAAAGCCTCTCCGGTCCCATCGAAATACCTCCGGCGGCATCAATTATCACTATTACTCTACTGCTACTAAAGTTCTATACCTTTCTATGGGTGTGGGTGCGAGGGGGGAGAAAATCCAGGTGACGTAAGAGAGAGACCGAGGGAGTTTGAGAGCAGAGAGAGGTGGACTTTCATTTCAGTGTTGTTTCTTGCTGTGATTTCTTTTATTAGTTAATGTTCCCATTTAAGCATGTTTGGCTAAGGTTAGGAACTTATAAGTTTTAAGGACAGTCCAAAATCTCCTTAACGAGGAGCTCTTAACCTTAGTACTGGAATGAGTAACTTTTTTTACCATTCAAATCTAATAATAAGTTATTTATTTTGACAGGAGAATAAGAAAATACTCCAAAATAAGTGAATTTTCTAACTGAAGTAGAAAAAATGTAACTTTTAGAAAAACGTGTTAATAAAACAAAATTACTTAAAAGTAACTTTTATTTATATCCTTAGCGGAACATACATAACTTTGCTAAAGTTTTATCGCATATGTAATTCGTGCAAGACACGTATGCATCACTTAGGAAGCAAGTGAGACCTATATGTTAACCATAAATTACGGTTTTTCTACTTCAATTTAAAAGTTTACTTATTTTGAAAGTATTTTTCCTATCCTCGCTGAGGTTAAAAGCTCACTGTTTAGCAAGATTTTGGATTGTTCTTCAAACTTCGCCTGACAACAATGAGACTGTGTGACTCTCGAACTTTACATCTATGACACCATTATTCTAGAACTTGCATTATTTCCGTATAAAAGTCACCATGGTCAAGCCCCTCATCCTTCGAACCTTACATGAGTCAAGACGAGGACCCTAAATTACTATTTCTATTGCATCAAGGGTGGAGTCCGACGGCCTTAGGGTCCAAGGTCCCCAAACTACCAGGTTTTTTTGGAACTTTTGTTTATATTTACATTTCTAAAATCAAATTATTTTAAGTTTGACAACTATTATTTTAAAACTCATTTTTTCATATTTATTTTTAATCATACATTTACACAATAAAATATTATATATGTAAACCTAATTTATTTATTTTTTTTCATATTTTAATCACACATTCTTCAAAATTCACAATTTAAAATAATATTTTTCCAAAAAAAATGACCACCACAAAGGGCCATGCCATGATATTTTGTTATTGTTAAGAAACTAGGACCAGTAATCTCATGCACCATCCTATATGCATGGTGTCAATTTTGAAAGTCTCGTGCCATGTTTGTTCTGGATTAAAATCAGATTTCAATCTCAATTAAACTCAAACAATCAATATTAATCATATCTTTCATGGGTTCCACGACTTTTCAACCACACATTTCAAAAATTCATATTACAACCTACTAAAAATCTAATTTTAATCACCACCAAACACACACTCTATAAGTACTTGCTCAAATTAAAATTTATTTCTTTTTGAGACCTCGTTTTGTGTATATTAAAATCAGGTTTTCAATAAATTTTAATAAATAAATGATAAAATATGATGGTTTGTACAATTAAATGTGTAATTAAAGGTGAAAATGTCAAAAAAAGAACGGTATTGACGTTTTTCGTAATAACGGTAAAAGATATGGATATTATGTACTAATTACCCTTTTAATAATTTATTCGTGACTTATTTGCGCTTTTTAAAAAAACATTGGGACTGTGATTGCAATTAATTTTTTCTCTTTATTTTTTTTTGTTATTTAAATAGAATGGTATATCTGCCATTTCATAATTTTTAATTGAGAAAATAGGTAAAAATGACATTTTGCACAATGAAAGATGAAAATCAAAGTGAAAATGTCAAAAAATGAAAGGTATGTACGTTTTCTACAATAACAATGAAAGGTTTGGACGTTATGTGCTAATTACCCTAAAATATATTGTTGACTTTAACTTGATATTTCTATCAAATTTTAATATGCACCAAACAAAACTTAATCAATTACGTAATTGATGCAATGATATAAGGTCAATTGATTCCAAAACCAGGTTGTATAACTTTCTTACAAAAATCAAACTTATCAAAGATCGACTACTTTTGATCTCTTATCAACTTTTCACCATTTTAATTGTTGGTAGAAATACACACGTAACTAACCGACAAATTTGGAAAACTCGAGTCTTGGCCAACTAGTAGTTGGTCTTGATCGTGTGACATCTTGGATTTGTCCACAATTTGGTGGGAAATAAAATATAATTTTTAGTGCCTTTTATTAAATATAAGTATAGAAAGTGGAAAATATTATTTGGTGCGACTTTTTAGAAAGTCACAAGGTAGGAAATATACTTTTCCAAATCGCTAGAATTATGGAAATATTTCAAAATTATTTGGGGTTAAGACGACGGATATTGAAAGATAATATATAAATAATTAATGCTTGTGTGGAGGTGGTTTCTTTGAAAAATTTGTGGTTAAAAAGTAGGTAAAAGTCGTGAGGATATTCAAAATGATTTTTTTAAGATGTGTAGTTAAAAATGAGAGTAAGAAAAGTGATTTTTAAATACTTTCAAACAAGGATTCAACAAATTATCAACCCATAGTAAGAACTTTGTTAAGGATCAATAAAAAGAGTATTGACAAACGAGAAAATTGCATCTGATAAGTGTGTTTATACACTTATTTAAGTCTTTAGACTTGATAATTTATGATTAATTCAGCGAATATATACATAATTTATGTTATTTGTAGGTGATTTCTCGATTAGAATGCATTTGGATGTAATTGAAATTGCATTTTGAAGTTTAAATTGTAGTTGATTCAAAGAAATTGAAGGCTAACCGGATTGCATATGTCAATTGAAAGCATTAATGGGTCAATTATGGGCAATTCTCAAGTTTCAGGAGTTAAATCCAACGTTTAAAAAGTTTTGAGACTTTATTGCAAAATTCCAAAACTTACATTGTATCAATTATGGACGATTGAGGAATATGGAAGACTAAATTATGAAAATTTAAAGACGAAAGACTAAAGATGCAAATAAAAAGGAACTCGAACTGAACGAAGGTGAAAATTTAGGGACCAACTTGAAGTTGGCCAACGGTGGAGACTTGCATTATCAAGCCTTGGAGATTGCGATCGCAATGGCTCAAACTGCAAGTCCAGAGAGCAAAAACGCTTCCATGTGCGATGACAGTGAAATGTATCGTGCAATGGCACATGCCATCATGACCAAAAATATTTGGTTTCCTAAATTGTTTCAATCTCTTCTCGAAAAGCAAATTGGCCACTGGATTTAACTTAATTCTTGTTCTATAAAAGCACATTCATCTACAATTCAAGGAAAGGTAGCTCAGATGCTGTTGTACATAAATACACATTCATTACAAAGAAAAGAGCAATAGGAGATCAACAAATCTATATATCTTGTAAAGCTTTGAAAAATTAATATATGTTTTGGAAGTACTCACTATTGATTAGAGACTCTTTTCACCATAATAAGATCTTCGAGAAGACCCATTTTGCTCATGAACGAAGGTTCTTACCTTTTTCTTCTCAAAGTTCTATTAAGCTATTTGGAGAGAATGGAAGAGTAGGGGAGCTGCTGTTCAATTTGTTGTACATCCAATTAATTATTGACACATCATTTTAAATTAACATGTCCAACTTTTTTCTAACTAATCCGTATGCTTAAAAATAGGCGATATTTTAATGAAAATAATGTATCAATGATTAAATGGTGTACAGTAGCAGATGTGAACTCGTGATATGCACAGAAAAGACTGCAAAAATGAGGTTCTTGAGATTCAGTGGTTAAGCGCACAAATTTGAATTTTACTTACAAGTGTAAGTATTTGGATTTTGTTAAAATTATAAGTGACATGCACACTTGCACAAACAAGACCTTTCAGTTGTCCAAGAAACTGTTACCCTTTGAAAATATGTTACTTCTGAAAATAAGTTCTTTTTGAAAAATTGCTTACTCAAGGTCGCATTTTGACTCGCATTTGAGGCATTTCCACAACACATAAGATTGGCACGATGGGTGTCAAAATGAAGGTCTCGACACGAACTTTTAAACAAGTTAACGTTCAAAAGCTAACTCTAAATGTACGACTCGTAATAGCATTTTAACGATAGTTGTCGGGTACTGTTAATTTTTACTTTCTGCCTTTATGGTCCTTAATCCCAAACTTTATGACTTTATTAATTTGAGTCCCCAAATAAACCATAAATTTTCAATTTGATCTCTCGCTAATTTATTTAAATCCCGATTTTCTTCCTTTTTAGTACTTCTTTTTTCAGAAAAACAATTCTAAAAATGACGTGAATTTTCGGTCGTTACAGTTACAAATTGGTTGTGACTCCAATGTTTGTGCTCGCTTCCCACCCCTACATGACCCTCATGAAAAGCATGTCTTACGTCAAATTCAAAATATTGCTCAAACTCGAAAATAAAACCCAATTACATAAAGTCAACATATAAAGAACATGTGACTTTCATCGATATATAATAAAAAATTGTTTGTGCGTGATGAATTCATTACTTTAGTTCATACTTGGGGAGACTATCGGTGCAATTTTCCTAAATATAATCCATCAATTTGCTCAAGTCAAAAGTGCGATATTGAGGCTGCGTGCATCAATAAAGGGAAGAAGACCTTTTCCCGGAAAGTTCGGGTTTGGAAGGACTTTCATATCGGAATGGGCCAATGGGGCAATGATTTTCAAATTGCATGTGTAATTATTGGGGCAAGGTCCCACTCGGGTTAGATAATGCAAACAAGAAAAAATCTAAGTGCGATTAAGAAAATACCGCATATTAGGCTAAGGTATAAAGGAGAAAAGTAAACATTAACATTAACCCCTCTTTTTAAAATTTATTTTTCGTCATACTTATTTTTGTCAATATATTTCATTAAATTTTATCAACTTTTTAATTATATATTTTATTTATTTCTATAAAGTTTTTTTTATGTAATTTTAAGTCACTTTATAAGTGAGTCATATTGTATGAAGACCATACGATAATTGCCAATTTACCATTATTTAATATTTTATTTAGTTGCTAAAATTGTA